CATGGTGGTACACAACCATCCATACTGAGATCTGATTTCCTCCTCTGGCTTGCAGGTATGTATCTAGAGGAGCACTCATATGCATATAAATAAATAAATAAATCTTTAAAAAATAATTTTAAAAATAATGACTTACACACATGACTCACCCTAATGAAAACAATGCTGTCTCCCAACTTCAGATTACCTAATCTGCTAAAACAAGTCTCATACTTAGTTTCAGTTGTCAAATTGATTGATGCACCTTGGCAGAGGTCCACTCAGTTGAAGAACTGCCTCAGTCAAATGGCCTATAGGCATGTCTGTGGAGAATTTTTTTTGGATTACTGAGTCATATGGGAGGGCCCAACATAATTTGGGTGGTATAATTCCTAGGCAGGTAGGCCTGGGTTTTGTAAAAACAAAATAAATGACCATGAACTTGGAAGCCAACTAATAAGCAGTTTTCCAATGGTCTGTGCTTGAGTTCCTCCTTCCAGGTTCCTGCCCTGAGTTCCTGCCTTGTCCTCATTCAGTGATAGAGTGCTACTTGTAAGGCAAATAAATCCTTTCCTTTCCCAACTTGTTTTTAGATAGGGTCTATCACAGTAACATGAAAGCAAAGTAGAATATTACATCTTTTATTTTCTAATGTTTGTCAGCATTTAACATTATATACACATGCGCCTTAAGCATGCAAATGGACTTTTCTCTGGCTTTAAACCTTTGTGAAATATAGACATTATGTGATGGCTACTTAAAACTTTAAATATTTTTAAAGTAATTTCTTCCCAGTAAAAACTGAAAATATATGAAAGATTTTGTGAATTTCATTTGAAATAAGGTGTGAAGTAATGATAAATTTAAATTCATTCTTGTCATTTCCCTAAAATTTATGGTCGAGGATGGAAGGGCTAAATTTACTCAACAGTTGCATTAATTAAACAATGAGGGATTATCAGACTTCCTCCATTGTTATCTACAGGGTTTGGAAAACAAAGTGTGCAGATCGTTGGTCTGAACTCTCTTCTTAACCTTTTCTAGTCCTATGATGCTGGGCATCTGCTTTGACATTTTAAATTTCAGTTCATCTTTTTGTAAATAGTAGCTAACAAACCATAACCAAATGACAGCCAGAGCTTTACTTCTTCATTGCAACACAGCTGTATTGTAAACAGATTCACCTCTACATGTCTATACATTTTCATGATGTTTCTCAAGAAAAACTATTCTAAACACATGCCCCTTGGATGCAGAAAGACAAATAATTTGCACAGAAATCAACAAAACTCACACCTAGAAAAATACTAAGGTTTGTATTTACTTGCATTTTTATTATTTGTCAAATGTAGTAAATGCTGGTCATTATTTTCAGTGTGCTTTTAACTGCTACTTTGTTCTAGACACTTTGGTTCAATTATATTCATACGTCACAGCAAAAAAGCATGGCATGGCTTATTGGTTACCTGAAATTTGGACAAGGACTACTTCTAACAGGAACTCAATGACTGGCTCTTTGGCCTCCCCACCCCCCAAGGGAGGAGCAGTCCTGTTAGGCCACAGAGGAGAGCTTTGCAGCCAGTCCTGAAGATACCTGATAAAACAGGATCAGATGAATGGGGAGGAGGTCCCCACTATTAGTGGACTTGGCAAGGGGCACGGTGGAGATGAGGGAGGGAGGGAGGGACTGGGAGGGAATGAGGGATCGGGACACGGCTGGGATATAGAGTTAATAAAATGTAACTGATAAGAAAAAAATAAAATTCAAAAAAAAAAAAAGAACGGAATTCAGACCAAAGACACCCATGTATTGTGACTTATCCCACATCCTGCAGATAACAATGGAAAAGTCTAATAATTGTTCTTATAATTGACCTCATCTCCTTTTATGCTCTTTCCCATGGTCAGGCCAGGAACAGGGTTGCAGGCCAGTTTTAACCACTCCAGAGAAACAAGGTGACAGTGACAGGGAATGCTGAAATGTGGTGTCATGGAAGAAGTGAGACCTGATTTGACTGGACACAAAAATACACCAATACTGACCCAGTAGTGATGAAAATCATTCCTCTGCCATGTGGAGTTAGAATAATTTCTATACTAGAGAGACTTGGAGAAGAATAACAAGAAATAAAACACAATTTAAAATGTTTGAATTTGTTTCTTAATTTTCCTAGAAACCAGAGTATTCAACTACGTTACAACTATAATTAACCATTATGTGTTTTCTGGTTCTGAGAAGGCATATAAACATTTAAAAAGAAGGGAAAAAAAAAGCTATTGTAAGGGCTTAGGAAGTGAAAAGTCTTTTAATTTTCCTTTCATCTGATGTTAATTTATGCAGAAGCTAATAACATTTTTGTTGGCTTGGGGCTGCAAGTTGTAGCAAGGATTTGTCTCACCAACAACGGCCTTTTCTATGAGCCTGGCCAGATAGCAGCATCATTTCAGAGCTTAGGAACAATTTTGTCAGAGAAAGACAATGTGCTTACAAGTCCATCTATACACATGTTTAATTGCTAACTGTTTAAAAACGAATGTCTTTAAAGGCTCTAACCCTTCTCTAGTTTTTGCAAACAAAACAGCAAAACATTAGAAGACAAGGCAAGGAGAATTGTCTGTGGGAAAGCATAATCACATGCAGAGGGAATTGTTGAATGACGAAGGAGAAAATGTCCAAATAAGGAGAGTCTTTGTAAAAGAAATATGAGTTACTTTTATGCTAGAGTAAGGCACAATTGAATTCCTATGTCTTGTATAAATGAAAATTTTAATTTCATTGTTACTGCTCACCTACAGAACACAGAAAACAGTGGTCGAAAAAGGCAGAATCTTTAGAAACTTATATTTTAAATAATATCCCCCACGAATACAGTGAGTCATATGATGACAGCGTAAAGCTCTAATTTATAAAAAACATTATTAAAGTACCTTATTTATACTTACCTTTGTGGACTTCTGCTCTTATTCGTGAGTCTCACTATGTATGGTTATAATTTCAGGCAGAGGATATCATGGAAACATTAATTCAATCTGAACTTAGGTAAGACTACTGTATTGCCACAATAAAATCCCAGCTATATTAATTTAAAACATGGGGATTCATTGAACAAGATCATTCTCTTTTAAAAACTTGAAAAGAACAACTTACACCTCACGGCCTCGAGTATCTACTTTTAACTGAAGTTCGGTGTACCATTGACTAATTGGCACAGACCTTCTGATGAAATATTTATTCCTCAGCAGTAGGAAACTTAGACTTAGATACTAAATAGTGATTATGTGGTGACTGTGGTATTATTAGTATGGTCTTAGAAATATTTGCAAGTATTCATACTTAATTAGACCCTTTTCTGATCCATGACATCAGATGATGATGTTTAGCAAATGCCTTGTCAATTACCTGGCATTTTTATTTATTTAGCAACATGAAAAATGTCCTGCTACACATAACTTCTCCCAGGAAAGATACTGAATGTAATAACACTTAAAAAAATCTTTATTCAAAATTGTAAAGATGTTTTGCTTATGCCTAAGCCTTGTGGAAAAGGCAAAGTGAATTTCAATTGCCTTATTTCTGACACTGGAATGATAAAATTTACCTTGTGGACTTCCTCCTTCAGGCTGAACAAGCTGCAGGAATACTCTGCAGACGCATTTAGACAAAGTGAGAATGTGTCTCCTTACAATGCTAGATTGTCTCAGAGAGTGGTGGAAAGGGACTCTATAAATTATCCTTCTAACACTAAAAGAAAGCGTTAGCTTTGATCTTGTAGGTAAAAAAATTTCTATACCTAAGGGGATGAATTAATTCCTGTATTTAATTAGATGCAGTTCTTAGTAGACAACTTAAGAATTCATGTTAGAATTGCACATTGGATATTCTCAGCACGGCAAAAAAAATCTCACAATGAAAAACTTAGAAGGCATCGGTTCCTGAAAATGGCAAAGCAAAAGGTATTTCAAATACAGATTAAACAGAAGACAGAAATCAGTTTCCAAGATTAAAAATTCATATTACTGCTTTAAGCCTGAAATTGCAGAACAGTCTATTTCAGCAACTGAATATAAGCATATAAGCACTTGGTTTCGTTGTTTGAACTGACTCGACTTACCATCAAAGTGTCTAGAGAAGTCCACGCGCAGAGCGGGGCAGCACTTGACATTATATTTCGGCCCCAGTCATAACAAAGTCATCCTCAGGTATCCGGAACAGGCATCCCCAAGGAACTGTAATGGAACCATATATGATTTTGCACGGCATTCAGATTTACTACAACCTGCTTATAGCTGAGCAGTACAGTTCATGCAAGTGTTAAGAAAGGGTCGTGAAGGTAATATTCCTGACACATTGCCACTCAGATGTCACCAGCTCCAAATGTCTGTTGACAAGAGCCAGAGCTGAAAAAAAAAAAAAAAAAAAAACCACCTCAAAATAAAATGGTCTTACACAGCGGTTCTCAATCTTCCTAATGCTGTGACCCTTTAAGACAGTTCTTCAGGTTGTCGTGACCTGTAATCATTGCTACTTCATACCCTCACTTTTGCTACTATTCTGGGAATGTCTGTGTTTTCCAGTAGTCTTAGGTGACTCTTGTGAAAGGGTCGCCTCACTCACCTAAGGGATCATGACCCACATGCTGAGAACCACCGGTCTAACATTAACAAAACAATAATATAATAGTCAATAATATAATATTTGTTTATTATAATATAATGAATAAAAAATAATCTTATGTGGGGGACACAGAAAATAACTATCTAAGTCGACTTTTAATAGTGTTCATGAAAACTTCACCTAGAGCTTAGCAAGATGCTATGCAGAGTGCCTGATAACACTCTAGCTTTGAGGGGGTTACTGTTATTTTTAAAATGGGGAAAAGGTGCTATCAGCTTCAGGCTTGTTGGAGGTCACAGGTTGCCTGGAGACAGAACCCACTCAGGAGTAATCCTTCTGTTCAGTTCGTCGGGCTTCCTTCTTTATTGGCTTTCCTTAATGGGGATGTTTGTAATTTCTTCTCTAGAAAAAGAAAAAGAAGAGGAAAAGAAGAAAGCCGAGAAGAAAGTTACTTCTGAAACAAAAAAGAAAGGTAAGGAATGGAAAAGCTATCTAAAACCTAAATCAGATAGTATTAATTTATAGTGTTGCTGGCAAAGCTATTGTTTTCTAGCAAAGAGGTTCACTTGTTTGATTGCCATTCTTAGTGAAAACACCCAGGAGTTTTAAACATTTCAAACAAAAATCAGAACTGAAGAAAATATTTAAAACCCTTTATTTGCGTATTCATGTAAAAATAGGATTTTTCTGTTTAGCTCAGGCTGGTGTGTAACTCATGATCCTCCTGCCTCAGAGACTTGAAATTCCAAGACTGTGCCAAATCTTCTGGTCCTAAACACATTTGTTAACGATACTACTGTGGTATTTTCTTTTAATTTTTTTTTTGTAGTGACTGTATATATATGAAATATGTATTGTATGTGTGCGTGTGTGTAATGGAGATTATTATGTATTTCATTCAATTTTATTAAAAGTAATCGATAACTTAATTTAAACAATGGGAAAAATATATGGCCATTCTTCTCCTCTTTCCTTAACTCTTGTTTGCTAATATTTATCTGATACTGCCATGTGATTTTCAAATATTTAAAAAAAATTCTAATATAATAGTTCTATGACCAGATAGCTCAGGGCACACTCAATCTATTCTTTTATATATTTTAGAAAACTATGCTGCAACTATAATGTAATTAATGATGCATTTAATGTCCCTACCTTTGTTAAAGATTTGTTTCCCTCATCCAGTTAAACCCCTTCATAGACAGTTAGGACAGCTAAGCTATAAGTGTGTTTGGAAGGTTCTAGTATGTCCACTTATAGAGGATTTATGGCTTTGGACTTACAATTTTCTCTGCAATGTAAAATGATTTTCTTACTGGTAATCATATGTACTCTGAAACATATAAGAACAAATGAGTTAGGGGCTTATAATGTTATTTTCCCAGCAGAAAAAGAAGAAGGCAAAAAGAAGAGTGAGAGGGAAACTGCCTCTGATGTGAAAAGCAAAGGTATTATTATTTTTTTCTCTGTTTCCTTCCATTGCCTTCAAGGATTTAGTTCACAAACAATTTTGGTGCATCCATATGCAACTTGAATATAGGTTCTCTCACATACCGAAGTTTAGTATGTAAAAGCAAAATGTGGTAGAAGGTTAAATATACATGAAGAACATTAGTCAAGGCTACTGCAAGATGTGAGAGTGGTCAAAACTTCATCTGAAATTTATCTCTGCTGGAAAGGAAAGCAGGAGAGCGGTAAAAAAGCTGAAATGGAGGATTAATATCCATTTGCGTACACGAACACCTGATGTAAAGAAGGGAAGAAGGTGTTATTTTCGTTTATGTTTTCAGAGGGTTCCGTGCATTGTAAAACCAGACTGTGTCAACTTTACCATTTGTGTAAACTTTCTTACATGCTCATGAGAAGCAACAGTTGACAAGTTAAAGTAGGATGGCAAAGTGGCAGGTGTGGGAAGTCTTTCCTTTTGCTTATATTTCAAAGAAGCCACTCCCAGGTCTTTGAAAAGAGGAAGTCCTGAGTGGGTAAACAGAAAAGTGGGCTTTATGAAGATGCATACTGATAAAAGAGACAAATAAGCAATTTTTAACACTTGACTGTGTGAAGTAAATGTGCAAGGTACATGAAAATAAGCAGCTCAGGTCAGCACGATCTCTCTGATGAGCCCGGGCCAGTTGCTCACCATCTTGACAAAGCTGAGAAAGTCATAGGATCTACCCACGGATAACAGTATCACCGTGCAAAACCATGGAGCTGAGCAAGATTAAAGGTCCTCATTAAGAACTGATGACTCAACTGTGGCTCAGCTGAGATTTCTGTGTTTGGTTTTGATTTTATGCTTGGGCAAGCTTATGCACTGGCTTAACTTTGTAGGGTAGGACATGTGTACACATGGAAAGTTCTCTCAAAGTACTATGGTTCAGTGATGAATATTTTCATCCCGTATATCTCTTCTACCTGTGTCTGTGATGGTTGAAATTTGGCTCAGAGCAACTCCATTCTGTTGAGTTATGGAGCAAACGTGCTCCATTAAAACGCAAACATCCCCGGGCCTATGCAATGGGGTAGCCACCAAATTCTTCTCAGCTAGTCATAATGTAAACTAAGATTTTCAGATCCTCTTGGGATAACAGTAAACTGAAAGCAATTCTCTAAACGTTTACACAGTAGTTATGCTTAAATGGGAGGCACTCAAACAGAGCTCCAAGGTAGGGCATTGGCAGGAGAGGGCAGGCTGGACAGGGAGGCATTAGTAGCATCCTGACCTTCTCAGGGGGGAGTAGGAATAATAGTTTATGTGGGAGAGAAAAGCAGTGGTGAAGGAACCTGAAGAAGAGAGCAGAGTTTGACAAACTAAGTAATGACTATTTCGAATCAAAAACAGGAAGAACAGGGCATTTCTCCTACCGTACTATAAACAGGTTGAAATATAAAACAGGAAGAGTTGCACATGGCTTACAAAACAAGCAAGAAGGGACGGCAGGGATTCAGTGAATCTGGGGGGTTTTGTCCAGAAAACATTAGATAAAACTCAAGGGTGCAGGGTCTGGTGAGGGTGTGTATGTGTGTGTGTGTGTGTGAGTGTGTGTGTGTGTGTGTGTGTGTGTGTGTGCATGTGTGAGTAAATATGCATGCCTACCTGTCTGAGTGTGTGTCTGTCCGTCTGTCTGTCTGTCTATCAGGTTGTCTGTCTTTGTATCTGTCACTGTCTTTCTGTCTTTCTCTGCCTCCCTCTCTCTCTTTGTATGTGTGTGTCTTATTGCTTCTCTGTCTTGTTTTGTTGTGTGTCTTGTTTTGGTTTAGCTAAATGTTGTGGCTGAAAGCTGAAATATGTACAGGGACAGGGGTCCTGGGACAAGCTGAAACTCCATGCTGTGAAGACTTTAGTGTCCCAGTCATATCAAGGTGCTGCTGTTCATCACTGGGAACAACTGTCTATGGCAGTTTCTCTTCTTGCAAGGCTAGAACCATTGATGCAAAATCAAACTGGTTTACTTCTGAGCACATAGAAGCCTATTCAGAATGGACTGTAAAACACATTTGCCTTTTTGAAGCCTTTTTTTCTCTTTGAAGTTTTCATTTTTTTTATTTTGATCACATATCATTGTCTTTTAAATTAATCTAACTTTGATGGAAATGTATATTATTCGATATAGTGTCCTTAACACTCAAATCCTCATTTTATGCTGTGTATAAGTGTGTGTGTGTGAGAGAGAGACAGACAGACAGAGAGAATTTAATTACTTTCTAGATTTTTTTTTTGTAGAATTTGATAACAGTTTTAAAAATTTCAGAATTTGAATATAGTTTTGAAACATTGAGTCTTAGGCTACTTAGCACAGTAGATATACTATAGGGCTAAAGATAAAATGAAGTATGGTTTGAATTGTTAAATAGCTGGCACTCGTGGCTCTTCTTAAAGCTGTGATGAACATCTGACATAAAGAAGGGAAAAAGGTTTTATTTTGGTTTATGTTTTCAGAGGTTTCAGTGCATTGTGAAGTAAAACCAGACTGTGTAAACCACTGAAACTAGAGAACCGAGACAGAATGAATATGGTAACAAGCTTTCTTCTTTTTTATTCTGTTTAGTCCCTGCCTGAGGGATAGTGTTTCCAATATTTATTGCAAATTTTCCTTTCCTAGTTAATCCTCCTTGGAAATACTATAACAGAAACAGTCAGATGATTCTGAATCGCCCATGTCCTTCTCAGACTAATTAAGGTGAAAATCCACCTTAATAATTCCAAGTACATATGTCAGTTATTCTTGAAATAGTGAAGGAAATAGAACAATGAATATAACAATTGTAGCTACAAAGAATAGTATATTAAAAAATCCAGAAGCCAGGCTTAGACACTATGGCTAGTGTGACTATTATATTATACTGCTTATAGAATATATAGGTTTATTTATGTTACACAATTGCATTATGCTGTCCTTCTTTTATCATACAGACAAAAACAACCCAAAGATTAATTCTGTTAATTTTGCTCGTAGTCTGTGTTGGGGAAAAAGTGGAACTGGTGTTTTATGTGATACCAAATCATCAGCTTATTCTTTAATAGTTGAAACACAGTAATTGTAAATCAAATCTAGCCAGTCAATGATAACACATGCCTTTACTGCTAGCATTCAGGGAGGCAGGGGTAGGTGGATCTATGTGAGTTCAAGGCAAGCCTGGTTTACAGAGTGAGTTTCAAGACAGCCAAGGCTACACAAAGAAACCTTGTCTTCAGAGAGACAGAGACAGACAGGCAGACACAGTGAGATAAAGTAAAATAAATCTCCCTTAAAGTTATATATATAACAAATCAAAACATATTTTATTGGTTAAAAGGTAGATTCCCACTTGAAGAAATACCATGAAAACCACTAGTTTTTTTGGTTTTCATGAAACAAACTAGAAGAAAAAAATCCAAGCAACACAGGAAATTAAGACTAACCAAGCCCTTGTTCCGAGCTTTGGGTGGGTTTTGTTACTCATCTATACCACTCCACACAGTCTAACAGAAGATAATTTACAAGGAGTCTGCACTGTAAGGTACTTCCACTGTGAACATTTGAATCAAGAGATTGATACTGAATTTTCGAACAACAGGTGAGGAAACGTCCTCAATCAGAACAACTGTCTCCTAACCACTTCCTAGCCTAGAGAAACTGAGAAAGACAGAGGCCTGCTGTCTCTTTCATTTGCTGAGTCTTCCATCTCCTTTGTGGTTCTGTTTCTGCTTTCTACTCTCATGTACCTGGTTAGTGGGATATAGTACGTCTCTAATATTAAGCGTAGATGTAAATGAATCCCCCCCCCAATTTGTTTTTGACACTCAATTTTTTTGTTTTTTCACTTCCTAGAAAAGAGTAGAATGCAGGTAAAAGACGCTGGCCAAAGGATCTACTAGAGGAGATAAAAATCCATATAGAGCCAAGAACGATTCTAGTTTCTACCCAAGGAAGTGCCTGTCCTTAGGTGGTTTCTGAATACTTGGACTGTACGGTGACCACACGTCAGTTTGTACTCTCCCAAACTAAAACTGAAAGCTAAATCCATGAACATGAGCAAATATGGTAGTTTAAAGGCTCACAGGATAAATTTCAATGCTACTTATGTTGATCTTTAGTTAAACTTTGTGTCATGAACTCAAATGATGACTTTCACAGACAGTGGGGGAATGAAGTGTACCATAGTTCAGGTTTATAGGTGGGATCTTCAGAGAAAGGAAGTAGGCAGAGCACCCGTGTAAGGAGTAGCTCACAAGAAATGAAGTATCAGAAGACAGGAGACAGGCTGAGTGGTGAACACTTGTTAATCTCGCGGAGGACCAGAGTTCAATTTCCAGCACCCACATGGTAGCTCCCAACCATCTATAACTCCTGTTCCAGGGAATTTGTCACCTTTTTCTGGTCTATAAGGGCATGAATTGTGCATGCAGCATACATACATACATACATACATGTAGACAAAACAGCCATACTCTCTACATAAAATAAATAGACCTGAAAAAGCCTAGGGGTTAATAAGTCTTTTCTGGGTAGATGTATTGGATGTGACCTGGTCAGGGTTGTTTGCCTGCTTCATAGGTGTCTGTGGACCTTCCTAATTCAGGCACCTCACTGGAGTTTCATTCATGCCTTTCTTTATGCATAATTTCTAGGTAATTGTGCTCCCTGGTCTATAAAAGAAGAAATTTAACAAGAGATCAGACTCTTAAATATTTCTGGCATCTGGCTAGGATAGAACCAAGGACATTGCTAACATCTGGCCAAGGACTTCAATCAAAGAGCTAGCCTAGTTTCTATCTCCTTGTCACGTGGTTATGTCCACCTGTCTCTAGTGGGCTATTTTGGGGGTTGTACATTTTAAATAATTGAGATTACATTTACTGTTATTCTCTATATGCTTATTAGTTATGAAAATAATTTTGATAAATAACTGATTGATATTAGTAATAATACAGTGATCCATATTTTTTAAATTATCTGACAGAAAT